GAGCCCAGTTTTGGAAGTTACAAAAGTTACAAAAGTATTGTGTAACAGTAACCAATTCCTTCAGCTGGGATTGGAGCTTTAATTGAGTATTCTGGGGATAATCAAGATGCCTAATGTATGAGGAATATTACATTCTTAGACTCTCTGTGTAGTCATAGTGGTGGTGGGTTCCTACACATGTCAGTAAGTTACTCTCCAGCTCTGATATGTCCCTTGGATAAGCCTGTTTCTCTCCTTTAGTTATAGACAAGATTGATTTCCTAAATTTATTTGTGCAGATTCTCTTGTGAACGAATTCTCAGTCATGCTGCTAATGTGGGGATAAAATTCTCTGAACCTGCTTAGCCTCTCACAGTATCACCTTGTGACTTTCAGCCCAGCACTACTTCATTTGAATTTTGCAGCTCAGTGCTGAAGGTTTTTCAAAAGCTAAGCACAGCTTAATTAGGGATGGTGGTATGGTGACATTGAACACGGCTACAGAAGCAACTGTTGCTGAACTTGGCAAGATGGGTAGATACATTGATTAACCTTGCAGCCTAAAGTAATCCTTCGTAGATATTTTAATTCATGACTTAGCTTCAGAGTTAAGATAGTTCTGCATTGAGCAACCTGACCTTTTTCAGTCGTGGTCCAGTGAAAATTCCCAAGCTAAGTAGGCCTGGAGTTGGTTTGTTTTTGAAGCGGGATTTTCAGGATTTGGTTCAGATTATTTTGGTCTTTACTCTAAATCACTGCACCAGCCTTCTGTTGTAGGAGCACAGTGCTTTTGAAAGCACTGATGTGTTGTCTTGAACAGTTGTTACTTTATATATGTTAAAAAGACACTTTTGTAGGTGTCCTGGTTTTTAACCCTGTAGCTGTATCTACTTTTTTGGTATTACCTTTACCTTTTCCAGTTTCACATGGTTAAAATATTTTCTCACTTCCTTGTTTAAATTTTCATGTAGTATCTGTTACGCATAAGAAAGCAGTAGTCATGAGCTTATGTGTGTAAAGTTATCAGGTGTGTTACCAGTTAGTACATTGCTTTGGGATTCTGCTGGAGGGAGGGGCATGGTGTGAATGTGAGATATCTTGATTGTCACACAGCAGTATTTTTTCCGCATGTACAAGCCAACTGGCTGCTCTCTCACGGCTCTGCATTCCTGTGTATATGGAGAAGGTGTAGAGGGAGGGGGAAATTCTATGAAAATAAGCAAAGCAAGTGGTTTCCTTTGTACTGAAGAAGATTAGCTTATTTGTATCACAGACCATTTGGACTTCATCTCTTTTCTCTTTGGATTTCTAATGTAAAAGCTGGAAAGCGAGTAACTGTTACAAGGAGAAAAATGCTTTACAAGGACTGATCTGGGGCTAAGGAGATGAGGGTTCAGAATGTAGTTCTCTTGCTGACTTGCTGTTCACCTTTGGGAGGGGTGGCTGCCTGATCTTTCTGCCTGTCCTGGTTCCTTCTATATGAGAAGGGAAGGTTTTTGTTTGTTTGCTTGTTTTCCTTAGCCTTTAACAGTGTAAACTCTTTAAGGAGTGGACTGTCTTACACTATTTCAGTACAGTACTTAGGTACTCTAATCCGAAGTGAGGCTTCCAGATACTGTTGTAGTACAAGGAAGAAGGTAAGTGTTCCTTAGAAGAAGTAACTAAACGTGAGCTTCTATCTACAGTTTCTTTCTCCTTCTCTCCTTTCTTCGCACAGTACCAGAAGCATTTGTGGTTGTGGCATTACCCTGAATCTCAGTGCTCCCTTCACTGCTGTTAATAGTGTTGGTTATAAAGTAGCATACATAATTCTATTTATATGCTAATGTTCAGGTATATAATCCTCTTGGTGTATGAACGCGGGACTGCCTACTGGTGAACTGCATTCACAAATATTTTATCATTGCTTGTATTTGTCTAAGTTGTGGTTGTGTTGACTTGCTTAAGGATACTCTAACTGTAGCATTTAATGATCTTTGTGTTGTTTTGTTTGTGTGTTTATAAGCACAGAATTTTCACTGTGCCCTGCCATTTCCCACTACAAACAGAAAAAAACAAGTAGCACTTCAACTGGGCAGTGCTATTGCCTCCCAGCATACAGTGCTGTGGCATCAAATATTAATCAAATTTTTAAGAGACACTTTACTGCTCAGTCTTCCAGATTAGAAAGTGATGCTACAAATCAAGGCTTAAAAAGCTAATTTCAGAAAGATAGATTAAAGATGCTGGAATAAAAACAAAGGAAACAGGTAGTCAAAAGAGGTATTTTAAAAACTGCTCTCACTTGTTGTAGAACAGAATGTTACCTAGCTTACTGAATCTCTTGCAAGTACTTTGTCAGAAATACATACTATTAGCTATCTGCTCTGCTTTACAACAGTTTTCTTCCTTGCAGATGGGCATATTTTAACTGGTCAGACAGGCCACACAGAAGCAGTGTAAACACTGCTCTTTTAAACGGACAGCTGTAGCTAGAGCAGAACAGATGCAAACAAAGACTACAGGTGTAGAGACAGCAGAGAGAACTTAGGGGCCAATGTTGGTGCTTTTGTACCCTGCTAAGGTGTATACATGTATTTGTGGGCGTAGGGGGGAACACAATGAAAATCTGCTCAGTGTTCAGTAATTCAAATGCATGCAGATATTTGCAGAATTTTAGAAAATTAAATCTGGAAGGGTCGTCAGGAGGACATCTGCTCTGTTTTACTGTCTCATGGTGACATGATATATGTCATCCCTTACCAACATTTTTCTAAAACATTCTTAAATTTTTTTATAGATTCTCAGAGGCCTGAGATACGCTTGCAGTTTTGGGATAGCTTTAGCTAATTTTGGAACTATCCTAGAATGACATTCATTAAGCCCTGTTAAACTGAAAATAATCAGATCACCTAAGTAATCTATAACCTATTCTTTACCTATAATAGGCTGAACTTGAGCTACTCTCTCACTTATTCTAAATATGCTAGCCATCTGCTCACTCTCCATCTTTTTACTGAAGACTGATACAATAAAGGCATTAAACACTGATTTTTTTTTTTTTTTTAGCATCTGTTGCGAAAGAACGGTTCTCTTTAGCTGTCTAAAGTTAGGCTAGTATAAAATGAAGTAAATTATGTATTTGGCTTGTTGACTAACCTAACCAGGAATCATAGAAGAAATGAGAAAGGCCTGTGTGCACTGCCAGAAGAAGAGACTGGGTATAATACACAGGAATTTTCACCTGGGAAGGTGAACACAGTTGTATTGTCTTTATCTGAAACAGTCATTTGCCCTGATTTTTCCCTACTATTTTGGACAGAACTTCTTCAGAGTGATAAAATTTTGATCCTGCTTGTGATAAGGCTTTTTTTTTTTTTTTAATTGATCCTTTTCCTGAAAAGGCCCAATCCTGTTGAAAGAACTAGTCTTTTCCTCTGTATTTTCCTTCTTTTCTCAACTGTTTTCATTCAGATATCACACTAACAGCTCTTCAGCGTGTCTCTTGACTCTTGAGGAGTTACTCTTTCAGTGTCATTGTTTTTTTTCATCTGGGGTCTGAATTGGATTCACTGCATCTGGGGGCTGCTCACTTTGTCTGATTTGAGGGTTTTTTTTTCTTTGTTGGTTTGTCTTTTTAGTTTTTCCACATAGATTTTTTTGGTCAATGCACCAGTAGCATCAGTAATATCCACCAATCTAGGATTATTCTGTGTATTTCCATATAGTATGACTGTGTGTGTCTCATTGTGCTCCAAGAGTCCATGCTTCCAGAATTTGACCTGCCCTTAGGCACAGGCAAAATTCCCTGTGACATACTTGCAATCCTCTGAGCACTTCCCTTGATATCTCTAGTATTCACAAGTAGAGTAACAGCATTCACCTCTTCAGATCCTCTTGTTGTTTTTAAACGAGAGAGGTTTGGTTTTAATTCTATGTTTTAATGTGATATTTGCTTTGGCCCTGTGGTATCTATTTTCCAGAAGCAATGAGGTGATGTGTTTATATACTAGCTTATAAATCAATCTTTGAGCAACTCTGTCCTTGCAGCTTCCAAAGTGTATAATTAAAAGAGATTATTTTAAGAGAGTAATTTAATAGCAAATGAACTTTTAGTGCAGCTTCCTCTTTCAGTTATGTGGTGGTAGCAGATCTGAGGAATGCTTTTCTGTGATACAAGATTTGGTGGGGTTTTTTTCCTTATTCTTTTAATTTGTGATTGCTGAATATGGATTGCAGATCTCATTTCCTTACTCTGATAGGCTACATTTTATGCCTGTGAAAAAGACCTTGGGGATCTGCTTTAATGGAAAGTAAACAGTCTATTTAAAATTAGATTCAGCGAGGAAGCTGAAAAGAACCTCTGACACCAATTGTCATGAAAGTTTCATGAAACTTAAAATTTTAAACGACTCTTTTGCCTTTGTTTAGTCAAAATTTATTAACAGGTTAATAGGTGAAGGGCAGATAAACAGACAGACGATATGGTCTGCTAAATCATATTTCCTTGGGAAATCAGATAGAAAAGTGGTGACTCAATGAATCCCTAGTCCTGTTACCTGCTAAGCTGCAGAAATTGCAGAAGTGTTTATAAAATTACAGTCCTATAATTAGTCCAGGTTATTAGTGCAAATGTATGCTTAGATATTTGTTCACGCAAGCAACTATCTAGGTATTTAACTGGTACTTTTGATATGGTATAATCTGGTTTGTATGCACAGTTGCAGCATTTTCACAGTTGTGTTGCCCATATAAATGCTGGAAGTACATTCTGCATCTCTGGATGCTGCTTTCTACTTGTCATTCCTGTGTAAAAATACCCTTAGTTAACTTGAGAATACATAAATAAGTGAGAGAGCAAAAATGTGTTGCAAGTAGTTTCCTGAATTGTCAATTATATTCTCTATTAAAAGTGTTTTATGAAGTTATTTATTTTTCTTCTGTGTGTTTATTTGTAAATCTAGATTTATAAGTGTTATTTGTTCCACTCTCCCCAAAATATGTCACTTCTTAGGTTGAATTTTTTTTTTCGTTATTTGCAGGTCTGCTGTTAAAGCATTGCGTCCTGGTGGATCACTGGTCTATTCTACATGCACTCTCTCAAAGGCAGAAAACAGCGATGTAATAAATCTCATTCTGAACTCCTGCAGTAATGTTCTGCCCGTAGATATAAGTGATATGGCCAAAGCTGTTTCCCAGGAATTCACTCTTCTCAGTGGTACACAGCAGCATGAACTTTTGGTTCTCCCAGAGAAGGGGAAAACATGGGGTCCAATGTACGTAGCTAAATTAAGGAAAATAATACAGTCCATATGAGGCCTTTTAGTTTATTATAAGAGATATATGATTAATTTTTATTTTTTCTTAATATGCTGTGTGTATATGAACTATAATATATGTCCAAGTCAACTGAATTTAGAGCTTTGCAGTTTTGTATCAGCTGTTCTCAAATTAAAAAGGAAGTTGGAAACTTAGTTTAGTCTCAAATCCAGAATATGTCTTGTAATGAAGATTTGAGGGCCTCTGTGAAGTCCTTTTGAAATCGGGAAAGCTTTATATTATTTTCACAGTGATGCTCTGAAATGCACTTTCATCCTAGAATAGTGGCCTGTTTTGTGTTCTTTACACAGTTTTTTTTTTTTTATTACTATTTTTAGCACAGTATATCTTTAAATAAGTGGTTTTAATGATGCCCGCTTCTAACATCATTGAAATCCTGCGGTTATTCTCAAACACGTCTAGAAATCTATTTTTCTATAAGAGCTGATTTGTATGCAGAGTCTGTCATCTAAGCACTGACTATTCCAAGCAGTGGCAAAACAGGTTTCATATTTGCCAAGTTGTTTACTGGTAAGAACTGTCTTTTGTTTACAGTTGCAAAGGTCAACGGCTATATTGACACCAGCTTTTTCTTTTTTTAAATTTTTATATTTTATCAAAATATAAATTGAAAGAGTAAATTGTGTTGAAAGGCCCTTAAAAGAGTAGATTCAAATGTATTAACTTTGATATTCAGTTTGTGGTATAATGCAGTATATCCAGCAGCCAGTAAAGCACGTACTCGAAACAGAACCAGAATGATTAATAACTCCAATAACGGCACAGTGTTCAGAGAGTTCTGTTACATAATTATAGTCATAATGAGCAAAACAGAGAGTATGGAGAAATGGTTTATCCACTGAGTTACGATACGTTATGTGAGTTTGTGATGTCACATCTGTGGTATGTGAGGTACTAATGTTGCTCTCAAGCTTCTTCAATTCTGCTACACAATGCTATATGGCTATATAGACACGCATGCCCATGTTCATGCATATGCACATGCAAACTATATTTTCCTATGTATTGCCTGTAGATCAGGTCTAAAAGCTTACGATTGAGCAGTACTTGGATTATGCTTATGAGTATTACGTATTAGGTTGTATGTCAGTCTCAAAGCAGAATGGAGCCCTTTTATCCCTCTCTCAGCACAGAGAGCAGAGAGGAGTCCTTTCCCTGTTTAAACCTTATAGTAATTGTTTTTAAGGAAACGTATTTTGAAAGGACAGAGAGTTTTCTGATAGATGAGTTGTAAATATTGAAATGTGCATGTAAGTGTGTGCATGACTATGTACATTTATGTATTTCATATCCATTTTGTATGTACATCTATATGTGTATTTAATCATAAGATTTTTGCATTCACAAACATCATTTGTTCATGCAGCTTTGATTTTTCTGAATATAAAAGGACGTAACTGGTAAATATTGGAAGAATTACCAGGTAATTATTGATTCTGTACCTTGTCAACAAAGGCAGGATTGTGTGAGGTTTTCTGTCAGAAGCTCCATCTAAGCACATCAGAAATGCATTAGTTCTTCATTAGTTTCTTGAATAATTCTGTTGTTGTAAGCTGAAAAATTACTTGTTACAATAGCGTCTAGAGTGTCTCTTTCTCTCTGAAGAATTCAATCGACTTTTTGCTGCCTTTATTCTTCGCTCAGCTTGTTAGGCTGATGCGCCTCAACTCCGTGTTCACATCAGTTCTCTGTCAGTACATCCATGGCAGTGAAGCATTTAACATTTGTCACTACTGCGAGTGTTATGATTGCTTGGAACTTCCTGTCTGAAACTTCCTCTCGCTCTCCTGGGGCACTTCAACCACTCTGACACCTGCTGGAAGGAGAGCACAGCTAGGCACAAATAGTCCAGGAGGTTCCTGCAGAGCATTAATGGTAACTTCTTGACAGAGGTGGTAGAGAGGCTAATGAGGAGAGGTGTGCTGCTGGACCTTAGACTAACAAACAGACAAGGTCTGGTTGGAGATGTGAAGGCTGGGGGCAGCCTTAGCTGCAGTGACCGTGAGATGGTGGAGGTCAGGATCCTGCGAGGAAGAAGCAGGGCAATAAGCAGAATCGCAACCCTGGACTTCAGGAGAGCTAACTTTGGCCTCTTCAGGGACCTACTTGGAGGAATCCTAGGGGTTAGGATTCCCTGGGAGAAATTCCAGGGCCCTAGAAGGAAAGGGGGGGATCCAAGAGAGCTGGTTAATATTCAAGCATCACTTCCTCCAGGCTCAAGACGGGTGCATTCCTCTGAGCAAGAAGTCCAGCAAAGCGGGCAGAAGACCTGCCTGGATGAGCAAGGAACTGCTGGCAAAACTCCAACAGAAGAAGGAAGTCTACAGAAAAGGGGAAAAGGTGGAAAAGGGGACAGACCACTTGGGAGGAGTAGAGGGACACTGTCAGAGTATGCAGGGATGCAACAAGGAAGGCTAAGGCCCACTTGGAATTAAGTCTGGCAAGGGATGTCAAGGACAACAAGAAGGGCTTCTTCAAATACATCAATAGCAAAAGGAAGACTAGGGAAAAGGTGGTCCCGCTGTGG